TCGACAAAGACAACTATATTGTGGTAGACACCAATAACACTGCGGAGTTACAAGAGAAAAAGGAGCTTAGGTTTTATGTAAGTTTTATATACGTACACGAATTAGTCTGATTTAACTGTATAATGAACATGGGTTTTTGCTTAAATAAAGTCATACTTATTAATTAGTTGCAATGTATACATATTTTGAAATAATTATAACTCCGCTGACCTTTGACCTTTGGATTCCCAAAAGCATCAGGATTGTTCCAATGGGCTAATACGTTTATTAAATACTAAGCCTGTGATATTGATAATTCGAACACTTCATTTTTCACTTTTTTTCGTTCCAGGTTGTACTTATTAACGAACATGGTCAGGCTGTCTCAAACCCTCTTCCATTTATTGTCCGTATTGAAAATAAAACTGAAGATTCATCAGACTACCCCATGCATTCTGCCATTTTTGCAGGGGTTTTAGTTTTAATTATAGTTCTGCTAGCGCTAGGAATTCCATTCGTAGTGAGAGCAAAGAGGAGATTCAAGCAGGGAAAACCTGTTATGAAACTAGGTAGTCATCCGGGCTCTAGTCCGGATCTGAAGGCTATAATGGTGTCCGAATCGGTGGAAGATATTCCCGGAATGAAGCGACAACAGAGTGAACCAAACTGGTTCGGGGAAAATAGAATTCTCTCCTATGAGGATGAGGTGAAAACAGAGAAAGCTACTTTCACCAAAGAAATTAAACAACTTGAGAGGAAAATTTCACAAGGACAAAGCAATAGTGCTGCGCTAGACGATGACGACGGATTGGTGAAATACACAAAGACCCCTCAAAAAGGGATTCTGAAGAATAGTGACTCCAATCATAATGATAATGAAAAAGTGTCTGTCTCGGCTGATGTACATGGGAAGCCCTATAGTGAAGAACAATCAAAATTATAATACTGCATTTCACCAAAGATTATTTACTAGTATTCAAATATTTTTTTATATTGAGTTATTTGTTATATATATCTATAAGCAAAGGTTGAATAATTTACTGGACATTATGGTAATTGAAGCAGCATTATACTACGTATATTTTTGATTGTATTTTGTTATATTATAATTTAAGATTGTTCATATAGATGATATTTATCTCAGTATAGTTTTCACAAATTGATCTGAGAATCGTTTTATTTTTTTCCTTTGATGTAATATTCATTGATTTTAAACATGAATTAAGACAAATCCACTCCAAATTTTATTGTTGCCCATCCATCATTCAACTAACTGCACAAATGATGATGACTTCCTAAACCTCCCAAATACGTCTCATAAAAAGCCCCACCTCGAATTAAACTACATGTATGAACATAAATACATTGGATACGGCATATGACAAAAAATCTAGAGATTTACCTGATTTTTCATTAACTAACATTTTTCAAGATCCACAACTATATGTAAGGAACATTGCACTCTTTGGATTCCAATAGATTTTTATCATTTCTCCTGTTACATATAACCAAAAGTTTTCTTTACATTATCCACTTTACATTTTGCTCACTGTCTCTTTTAAAAAAAATTCCTGGATCCGAGCTTGGAATGATATGGAAAACGTCAAAAAACATCCTATGAAAATAAAGGTCACCCCAACATCTCAGCAAAGCGGTGTTTCTATCGCCGATTTTAAAGACGAAGCTCATTGCACGTCAAATTCTTACGCTGAATTGAAAAAAAATAACCTCATCATGATTTACACCCATAATTCTGATGTTATAAAATAATATCAATGGTCATCTCTAGTTGCAAATCTGTAAGCCATCTGGTCGTTTATCCCTTTTTTCAGACCAGTGAACTAAAGGCCTGCGGCTATCCCAGGGGCAGATTAGTCACCAAGCTCTTTTCAATGCTTGAAATCCTACCTACTTCTACCTACCTACCTAACGTATCCTATCCTCTTTGCTCCTAGTGGAGCAGAAAGTCAACACAAGGCTTCGCGTTTGGTTAAATTTAATGTTTTTCTTTCATTGGAAATCAGTCATTGAGGTGGACAGTCCTTCTGTAATTTGTTTTTTTTTTTCCAATTTCTAATTCACTCGACTTGGTGTTCTTTATTTTGTTGTTGTTGACATTTTCCATTGTATGCAGATTCCGAAAATTAAAAAAAAGAAAGATATATACCCTGTATTTGAATATACTATTATTTCAAGTAAAACTTTTCAAATAACTCTACCAAAAATTATGGTTCTCCGAGATCAAACAAAAATATTGCAGGGTCCAGTAAATGTTCAACCAAGTCTCAATCCTTACTCCTCACCAAAATATTAACTCCTGTAAACGAGAAACTTCAGATGCACTATGGTACGACATATTCTAGAAGTGTTGTACATTTAAAATGTGTAAAATTCAAAATCTCATAACTTTTCAAAAATCAGCAATACATAAGACTTTTACACACTTTAAACAACCATTCCTCACGATAAACCAAAGAGCAGGCTTTTGACATCATAGACAACTGCTTCTTCAATAAATATGAAACTCGTAATTTTTTTTATAACTTGTGATAAATTGGGGTCGGGAGGATGCTGTAGTTCCTCACTCACAATATATATGAACTCTTTAGAGACCAAATCTTTCAACAATCTGTTGGAATTACGCTGGGACTAATTGTGCTCCTTGGCCGACCTATTTTTATATTCCTAAGAAGCAGAATTTATTTAAAAACTTCTTTATAAATATAAGAAGAAAACTCATCAACAACTTCACTGCTTTAGGTGGCTTAGTTTACTCCACATGAACTACAATTGATTTTCCTATAGTGTCCCGATAGGGCCATTTGCAAAAGTGTAACATTGCGTTAGAAGCAACGCTTGCGCGAAGTGACAACGCGCTAGCGCGTTATCACATTGCGCTAGCGCGTTATGACTTGCAAAGGTGCAACAGGTGCAACAACGAGCCGGTGTAATGAAGAAAAGTGACGAAAAGTATTGTAGAAAAATACCCCGTAGAATAATGATCCTGTGCCATTTTTTTTATACAAAAAAACAAAACAAACAAAATAACAAACAAAATGAATGGTTTTGGTAGGAAAATTCTCGATAGGCAAATACATAAGGATTAAATCGCTCAGCCTTATGATATGAAGTGTTCATTTCTAAAAGCTATAAAGTTTAAATAACATAATTAAAAGGTTATACTATACTTTACATTAATAATACAAGATGTTTTATCCCATTTAAAGGAAAACATAACATGGCTATAATGATGTTCTTTGACTCTTAGAGCAAGAATACGCACTTTCATTGATTTGTTTTATCACATCTAATAATATAAGTTTCCGCAGTTGTAACTATTTAAAAAAAATCAAGATCATTTGCTAATCTGGTGTAAGAAAAAGAAACATACAAATAAACAAGAGGTCCATGGGCCACATCGCTCACCTGAGCACTTAGGCTATCAGTTCACTATTGAAAAGTTTACGGGGAGGGTTGGAAAACTTGAATTTTACACTCTCTGAGGATGCTTTCAAATCAGTATAACTAACAGAGGATTTCTTAAGATTTTCAAATTATTTTTCATATATATTCTTTTGTAAAAATTTGATCCCCTTTTGTGGCCTCTCCCTATATCCCTGGGGGTCATGATTTAAACAAACTTGAAACTACACTACTTGAGGATGTTTCCATATCAATATGACTATGAATCTATTCTACCTGAGGATGTTTCCATATCAATATGACTCATTCTGGCTTTTCTGTTCTTGAGAAGAAGATCTTAAAAGTTCTTTTCCCTATATAATCCTATGATATATTCCTATGTAAAACTTTGATCCCCCATTGTGGCCCCACCCTACCCCCGATGGTCATCATTTAAAGAAAGTCGAGTTTACTCTACCTGAGGATGCTTCCATATCAATATGATTACTCATGACTTTGCTGTTCTTGAGAAAAAGATTTAAAAGATGTATTCCTATAAATTCCTATGTAAAACTTTGATCCCCTATCTGTGGGCCACTTTGTGGCCCTATCCCATCCCCACAGGTCATTATTTGAAAAAAAAAGAATCTTCACTACTTGAGGATGCTTCTATATCAATATGACTACTCATGACTTAGCTGTTCTTGAGAAGATTTTTAAAGATTTTTTTCCTATATATGCCTATGTAAAAATTGATCCCCCATTTTGGCCCCACCCTACCAATGGAGGTCTTCACATGAATAAACTTGAGTCTATACGATAAATTAAAGTCCAGACTTTTTGATGTCACTGACAGTTGCTTTTTCAATAAAAATAATTTAAAATTTAATTACCTTGTCATTGGCCATTTCTGATTGTACACACAAGTACTCTGAAGTTGATACAGAAGATTTTCCCCCTATTTATGCCTATGTAGAAATTGATCCCCCATTGTGGCCCCACCCTACCCACGGAGGTCTTCATTTGAATTAACTTTAGTCTGTACTATGTAAAGAAGGTTCCAATGAGTGATTCTTGAAAAGAAGATGTTTAAAAGATGCCATCAAATTTTCACTATTTATGAATTACTTCCCCTTGAAAGAATAAACTTGAATAAACTTGAATCCCTTCACCTAAGAATGCCTTGTGGCAAGTTTGGTTGAAATTGACCCAGTGGTTATGGAGAAGAAGATAAAAATGTGAAAAGTTTAAGACGAAAACGCCACCGACGTCGACAGACAACGGACAAATCTCGATCAGAATTTTATGCCCCACCCCCGGTACATGAGGGGAAAGTCTAAAACCATCGAAATTAGTGCTATTTCAAAAAATCCTCTTTACTCATGGACATCAAGCATTAAACATTGAGCCCTCTACCAAAAGTGTGAAACTGTGAAAGTAAGAGTGTAACTCTAATGGTCATATAGTGAATAAATCCTCTCTCCCCTGTATATTTTTGCAGATAAACTAGGTGCCTCTTGCAAGTAGAGACATTGTTGAGTTTAAAGATGCTTTAACTCTCCCTACACACTCTGCACTCATCCAATACCCACCCATCTCTTTCCATACTCTCTCTCCTCTCACTCCCATTTCCCACCCTCCTCAGTCCATCTCTCCCACTTCCCTCCCTGCACTCTTTCTCTCCAATCTCCCTCCCTATACTCGTTCTCTCCCACCTCACCTCCCTCCCTATCTTTCTCTCCCACATCTCTCCCTACTCTCTTTCTCCCACTCTCTCCCTGTTTCTCCACTCTTTCCTTATTCTTACTCTCCCTCTCTTTTTAGTTATTTATTATCCGTCTGACTCTTTGGACCTGTGAAATATACTAAATATATGCATAATACATAGATGTTTCATAGTTTATTTACAATAAAAAATAATGGAAAAAATATCTATTCTACAACAAAGAGAAAATTCTTATGATTATTTTAAAAGAAATTATAAAATGTTTATTCTTGATCTTTTTACTTTAAATTGGATTAAGCTAAATTGTTTGTTTTGGAAAAAATGAATGTAATTTATGATGATAAGGGCGATAACTTCACACAACAGAAAATTCTGCTTCCCGGTTCACAGTTTGATCATTGCGTTATTTGCTTGAAGAACAATATTCGTATATATGCTTTCTAACATGCAAGGAACATGATATGTCAGCTTGAAATCACAGTTGGATATCATTAGTTGTACGGGTATGAAAATTAGATTTGCGACTGATGCCCTAAATTATCCACATGCAGAGAGGAGGTCTATAAAATATTTTTTATTTGACCAAGTATGTAAATGGTTTGATATTCGCTATCCCTTTCCCTTGTATGCATTCAGCTTACTTAAATTCTATATTTTTATGATTTTTGTCGTGTTCAGACATCGTTTCCTTGCGTTGAATGTTATCCAAAATGCACTTGCATCATGATTCCATCGTTGTTCTACGCATTACCCGGTATGTCATATTTTCTCATTGCATATAAATGTTCGTTTGGTGTTTTATTCAAATGCGTACTGTTAGTAAACCTACGTGTAACTTTTACTTGTTGCAATGACTATAGATTTCGACTCGGATAGTGTTAAATGTTTAAAGGTGCTTGGACACAGATTTGAAGTTAATATTTTCTCAAATTGTCTGTATAATTTCATGACTTATATGTTGCTATAGCATTTCATATTAAAATATAATAAAAATCTTATTTCATCTCGAAGTTATTAAAACTTCGAATTTCTGGACGCGTTGGATTGACACATCCTTGCGCTTTCATGTATTTTAATTTTATTCTTAATACTTAAGAAAAGTGGCAATTTTGTTGTGTATTAATGAAAAATATTAAAACTTTAACCCAGAAAATTCAGAGTAGAAATGTTCGAAAGTAAAACCCACTCACAGTATTGTAAGTCCGTGCTCAGTGGTGTGTGTAGAGTTTAACAATTGAACAAACCTGGTGAATCGTAAACATTAACAATAACAGAGCTCGTGCCCTGTTTACAAAAACAGTTTACGTTTCACGGGTGTGTTCAATTTGTTAAACTCTGTACACATCACAGAGCACGGACTGACAAAACTGGTGAGTGGGTTTTGCTGTCGAACATTTCTACTCTAAATTTTCTGGATTATAGATGTAATATTTTTCATTAATGCGTAACAAAATCGCTTCTCTTTTCTTAAATATTAAGGATAAAGTTAAAATTTGTGTAAGTGCAAAGATGTGTTAATCAAACGCGTCCCGGAATTCGTAGTTCCAATAATTTCCAAATAAAATAAGTTTTTAATTATATTTTCGTGTGAAATGCTATTGCAATATATAAGTCGTGATATTATACAGAAAATTTGAGAAAATATTAAGTTCAAATCTGTGTCTAAGCACCTTTAATTAGGCCATAATTGGCCATCGGTGTAATTTGAGTAAATGTTCACCTTATCAGAGGCCCTAGCCATGCTTCTGGTAAAATTAAAATAATTCAATTAAGCCGTAGAGCTACATGTATTCATTCAAAATAAAAAAAAGCCATGTAAATTGTTGGCTTGAAAAATTGTAACAAGGTTGCCTCTGTCGCGCATATATATAGGCGTGCTCCTCAAGCTATGTCACATTATATAGATAAAGTTTGTAAATCGCAAAACATTTGAAAGAATTCATTTCTAAGTCTAAAGGAGAGGGAAGGTAACTTGCACCCTCACCAACAATAACCTCAAAGTAAGAAAAAAAAATCAGGTGACGCAGTTATCTCTAGGCCTTCACCGAACCTCCACAACCCTGGAATGAACGCGTATCGCATCTCAATTGTATAATACAAGAGGCCCAGGGGCAACATCGCTCACCTGAGCACTTTGGCTAGGAAAAAGCAGAAATCGGTTCGGTATTGAAAGGTTTAAATATAATAGTGGTTGGGGGGGGGGGGAGGTGAACAAGCTTTAATCTAAACTTCCCAAGGATGCTTTTGAATTAATATGATATATAATGGTTTTGCTGTTCCTAAGATGAAAATTTTTATTGATATATCCTTTATATTTCCTTGTATAACTATGATCCCCTGTTATGGCCCATCTATTCTCCTGGGGGGGGGGGGGGGTCATGATTTGAACAAAATTAAATCTACATTATCTGAGGATGCTTTTATATTATCATGACCAATCATGTCTTTGTTGTTCTTGTGAAGAATTTTAAAGATTTTTCCTATGTAAAACTTTTATTGCCCATTTTGGCGCCCAACCTTCCCCCGGGGAACATGAATTAAACAAGCTTGGATCTACACTAACTTAGGATGTTTTCGTATAAATTTGTCTAATAATCATGGCATTGCTGTTCTTGAGAAAAAGATTTTAAAAGATTTTTCCCTATGTATTCCTATGTAAAACTTTGATCACCCATTGTGACCCCACCCTACCCCCGGGAGTCATGATTTAAACAAACTTGAATAAACACTACCTGAGGATGCTTTTAAATAAATATGACTAATCATGGCTTTTGGCTGTTCCTGAGAAGAGGATTTTTAAGGGTTTTTCGTATGCATTCCTATGTAAAAATTTGATCGCCATTGTAGCCCCACCCTACCCCTGTGGTCATAATTTGAACAAAGTTAACTTGAATCTACACTACCTGAGGATGCTTCCATATAAATATGACCAATCATGGCTTTACTGTTCTTGAGAAGAAGATTTTCAAAGGTTTTCCCTATATATTCAAATGTAAAACTTTCATCGCCCGTTGTAGCCCACCCTACCCCAGGGGTCATGATTTGAACAAACTTGAATCTACAATACCTGAGGATGCTTCCATATCAATATTACCAATCATGGCTTTGCTGTTCTTGAGAAGAAGATTTTTAAAGATTTTTCTCATGTATTCCTATGCAAAACTTTAATCCCCCATTGTGGTCCCATCCTTCCCCGGGGATCATGATTTGAACAAATTTGATTTTACACTACCTCTCAATGATTTCACAATAGTTTCATACTTTCAAGCACAGTGGTTTTTGAGAAGAAGATTTTTAAAAATTTTTCATAATTTTCTTCCTTTCGAAGAGGATGTGGCCCTTTATTTGTGCAAACTTGAATCCCCTTTACCCAAGGATACTTTCTGGCAAGTTTGCAATTGGTTAAAATTGACCCAGTGGTTCTTGAGAAGAAGATGAAAATGTGAAAAGTTTAATTACGACAACGACAACGACGACGACCAGACAACGAACAAATTTCGATCAGAAAAGCTCACTTGAGCTCAGGTGAGCTAAAAAGTAGAAGATCAGATTTCTATGGGAGTCATTTTTCAGCTTGAGTGGAGTCGTAGAATTATCGGCCTGGAAGGATTTTCTACAGTCGAAAAATAATCCTACTTGTCGTAGAATATTGACCCGGGGTTATTTTTCTAATTTTCTCCCCGATCATTTTTTATGGGGGTCACTTTTCAACATTACACCGGTGTAACGACGAAAAGTGACCCCAGTAGAATATTGACCGGGGATCATTTTTCTATGTAGAAATTTGACCCCCCCCCCCGGTCAGTATTCTACGTAGGAAAATGACCCACGTTTTCGTAGAAATTATGGCCTTTGGGTCATTTTTCTCTGTGTGGATTGTAGAAAAATGACACCGTAGAAATAATGACCCTCTGTCATTTTTTGATAAAATATGGTTTTGTAAAGAAATTTTTTGTTAGGCAAATACGTAGGGGTCATTAAAATCACAAAGTCTTATTATATGAAGTGTTCATTTCTAAAAGCTTTAAAGTTTAAATAACAAACTTAAAAGGTATAACTATACTTTACATAAAAAAAAACTAGGTGGTTTATCCCATTCAAAGAAAAACATAACAAGGCTATAATGATGTTCTTTGACTATTAGAACAAGAATACGCGCTTTCTTTGATTTATTTCACATTTAAGGGTTTTCATCCCTAATAGGACCAAATTCTCTATCCTTAAATGTTCACCATGTACATTATACGTTGATATTAATTTAAAGCATTTAATAGTACAAAGGGATTTACCGAGAGAAAGTTTCAATTTACTAATGTAATTTACTAAGCAATAATTAATTGATAAAAACTGCTTTGAAGTCTATGGGGACAAGAATTTTTTTTTTAAATTCAAATAATAATATCAATAAATATTGTGGTAGAAAGATGCATTAAACATTAGAAATAGAATGACAATCGAAAACAGTTTTTTTAACAGATAAGTTTTAAGATTAATTTTTTTATTGATTAAAAACAGATATCTCTTACCAAAATTCAAGATCACAAATTAGGACAGATCCCACCCTTCCATGCTTATAGTAATAAATGGGAATTATGTCTAAATATACTGAGTATTCAACACCTACACACCTGATACATGTATGTATTCAATTTCATTGAATCTTTTGCTATTAGGAATGGACTACCTTAATAATAATAACTTAAAAATTTTCAGTTTCCACAGTTTTAATTATCTAAATGTGCAAAAAATCAAAATAAAGTCTTCTTTCTTCTTCATAAGTTATTAGAAAGAATAATGTTTTAAAATTCTTCCCAATTAGTTTTAAAAATAGCGATTGTTAAGAAAATTTGATCTCATAATTATCTTTTGATTTCTATGAATTAAGTCTTAAACTTCTTCTCATAAAAATATAGGGAAGATTAAATATGTGAAGTATATAAATGCTAAAAAATCACACAGGACTGAATAAATATGCCTCTGACCTTCGATATCAGGGGCACAAAACGTGATTAGCTCAAAACCTTTACCAGTGTCTTTTGTTGTTTGCTAGTGTCAACAAAGCCTTTACAAAATGAGGCTTTTTACAAAGAAAGAGGTGTTCAACACAAGTCTATACACGGTAATATCTTTTCTCTCTCCCTCTGTCCCCTATCTCCCCCACTCTCTCCCCCCACTCTCTTCCTCCCACCTCTCTCTCTCCCCTATTCCCCACTCTCTCTTTCTCCCTCCCCCCACTCCACTCTCCCCCACTCTCTCGTTCTCCCCCTCGCTCTCCTCTTTCTCCCCACTCTCTCTCTCCCACTCTCCCCCCACTCTTTTCCCCCTCTCTCTCCCCCACCGCTCTCTCTCCCCCTCTCTCCGTCGACTCTCTCGCTCTCCCCACTCTCTTTCCCTCCACATTCTCCCTCCTCTCTCGCTCCATCTCTTTCTCTCTCTCTCTCTCTCCAATTCCCCACTATCTCCCTCTCTCTTTAATTTTTTTTTGACCGACTGACTCATTTATTATAAGGCCTAAAAAAACTAATATATATGCGTAATACATAGATGTTTCAAAGTTATTTACAATAAAATTAATGGAAAAAATACTTATTCCAGAATAAAGATAAAATTCTTATGTTAGTAGAAAAGAAATTAGAAAATGTTTATTCTTGATCTTTTTACTTTAAATTGGATTTGGCAAATTAAATTATTTTTGCAGAAAATGAATGTAATTTAAAATTATAAGGGCGATAACTTCAAACAACAGAAAATACTGCTTCCCGTTCACAGTTTGTTCATTGCGTTATATGTTTGCGCATTTAATTTTATGTGCTTGGAAAACAATACATGTATTTATATGCTTACTATCATGCAAGGAACATATGTCAGCTTGAAATCTAAGTTGGATATCATTTGTTGTACCGTTATGAAAAATAGATAAGCGGCTAATGCCCTAAATTATCCACATGCAGAGAGGAGGTCTATAAAAATCCTTTTTTTGATATAGTATGTAATAAGGGTTTGACATTCACTATCCTTTTCCCTTGTAAGCTTTCAGTTTACTATATTTTCATGATTTTTTTTATCTTGTTCAGACAGCGTGTCATTGCTATCAATGTTAACCAAAATGCACTTGCATCATGACTCACTCGTTGTTCTACGGATTACCCGGCATTTCATATTTTCTTATTGCATATAAACGTTCGTTCAGTGATTGTTCAAATACGTACTCTTAATAAAACTATGTATAATCTTTACTTGTTGCATGGTTCTACTCTGCTAACCATAGATTTCTACATGTACTAAACGGTTTTGAATGATTAACCGTTGGGCTATCAACGTAATTTGAGTAAATGTTCACCTTATTACAGGTCCTAGCAAAGCTTCCTGGAAAATTAAAATCATTCACTGAAGTGACAGAGCCATTCAATAAAAAAAAAAATAAAAAAAAAAAAAAAAGAAAGTCAAGCATATTGTGGGCTTAAAAAATTGTACCTAAGTTGCCTATGTCGCGCATAGGAACCCTTCTCAATCTACATATACTGTACATAACATTACAGAGATAAAGTTTATAAATTGTAAAACACTTGAAGCATTTAATTCTAAGTCTGAAGGAAGAATATAAGAAGGAATGCCAGTCCAATTTTTTTTTCTCATAGATCTTTAAGACATCCCCTTTAAACTATGGTTTCAGCATTAAAAGGCCGATATTAGCTCTCAATTATTTTATTAGATTTTTTCCCCCAGTTGTTCATAGAAAATGAAAAAAAAAAAGATTTTATTTGCAAATAAAATGTTTTAGAGTTAAAAAATTGCTATTAATAATTGCAGAAAATGAATATCTAATAAAATATGAGAACAAAAGCAAGCTGGACATTAAAAATTATTTATGAAAATAAAACACAATTTTGCGAATATTTTCGAAACCTATGAATAATATAATTATTCAAAAAACTAGTCACAGCTACAATGAATACGTTAGACAATCATATTTTAAAAAGAAATTAAAATGAAAATGTCAAATTTTTGGAAAAATATTTTCTTTTAAATGTTGGACAATCCCGATCGAAATTTGAACTGATCCCAACCAGAATTTTGTTTGTTTGCTTTGTTTGTATATTGTTTAACGTCCCTCTCGAGAATTTTTCACTCATATGGAGACGCCACCACTTGCCGGTGGAGAGCTGCAAAGTTTGTCCTATACTCGGCACTTACGGCCATTGAGCAGTGCCAGCACCTACGTACTGCGACACGGGACCTCGGTTTATACGGTCTCATCCGAAGGACCGGTCTCCACGTCCCACAGTGGGATTCGAACCCGCGACGTAAGGATCAACTCCTTACTCCGCGACTCTAGAGTAGACGCTCTAACCACTGCGCCACGCTGGCGACCCAGAATTTTGTAATAATTGGAAATAGATAACATTTTCACAAGAATACTAGTTTGTTTAGGTGTAATACGGATTAAAAGGTAATTGAACTTAATTGACATTCAAATAGATTTCTTAGAGGTAAATACATAGAGAGGACGATAATTATTATTTTATTTATTTTGTGTTAATTTTCATTTTGATCAGGATTGATCCAAATACAGCTATATTAAAATAATTATTTTCCCTTAGCAATTTCATTTCAATTTCTTTTTAAAATATGATTGACTAACATTCTCCCTAGTTGTGACTAGTTTTATGAAGATTTTATCCATAGGTACAAAAAATATTTACAAATTTTATGTTTTATATTCATAAATAATATTTAATTTAAAAAAATCAAAATGTCTGTCCAACCTCTCTTTACACATTTTATTAGACATTCATATTATGCATTTATTAATAGCAAAATTTTAAACCATAAAGCATCTCTGATTTGAACGTATTTTATTGTCTATTAACTTTACAAATGGGATTGGGCAAAAGTTCTAAAAAAAATTAATACGCCCTTTCCCTACATATAAATTATACCAAACATATTTACATATAATGGTTTCAGCTTAAAATAAATAAACACAGAAAAGCATAATAATCAGAGGAACAATATTCAATTAAATATATTTCTTATATAATAGATAAGCTGTATAGAATTCGTAAAAAGTAATAATTGTATCAACCAAAACAACCTGACTTTTTGATAAATGTTTGTACAATGGAAATTAGGTATTCATTTTCAACATCGTTTAACGTTTCATCTCCCCACAGTAAAGTATGAGTATCAACAGTATGTAATTTTCTCATTCGCAGAAATGAGTCAAAAAATTCTTTTCTGGCCTCTGTATATTTTTTGCATGAAAAGAAATAATAATGAGTATCCTCCACTCTTCCACAAGAACACAGGGGACTCAAAATTACATTACATCGAAAAAGATCTATTAAGCACACAGTTGTGTCGAAGTCTTGTATGTAATATATTTAATCGTCGAATCCCGTAACTGAAATAAGAGGGTGGCATAGGTTTATTGTAAGAAATGGACTTTTTAAAGATAGACAATGAGGAAGAATTTCTTACAATAAGAGGTAATGAGTTCAATTCGTCAATAACAAGAGGGATGAAAGTTGACTTATGTTTGCAATCTGCATTTAGGTATGTTATGGTTATATGAATTTCTCGTACATTAACTTGATGTATTACAATGCAAATTTGGGATTATATCGTTAGATATTCAGGAACTTGGTTATTGTAGTTACATGTAATCTAGTATTTTTTCTTCTTTCATTTATAACGGTTTCCATCCATATCAAAGTACAGTGCATCTTTAGAAGCTAATAGAGTTAAGAGCTAATTTTTCGCTATCGCCTACATTACATCCACCCCACAGCAAGGAAGCATATTCTAATTGGGATCTAAGAAAGGTTTTGTACATGAGTGGAAGAGTTTTCCGATTTACAACAAATTTGATTTTTTTTAAATGTGCATCTTTGCAAATAAAACATTTTTTTCTCAGAAAAAATACCCAAAAAATCGATTAAATAATTAAGAGCTAATGTCAGTCTTTCAGTGCTGCAACCATAGTTTAAAAGGGATGTCTTAAAGATCTATTAAATAAAATTTTGGTGTGGCATTCCTCCTTAAATTATGAAAAGGACTGGGGAAGGAGGTAGAAAATATGTTAGAAATTCTATAACTGCAGTGCATGATTTGGAGACAAGCCAAGGCCATCTTTAAAAAAAATGTTTGTTAACCTTCTCCCGACCGACTGGCTAAAATGGCCCGACTCAATTTTTTTTTTACCAACAGAAAACAAAATATTTTTTTCTTTTCTCACCCGTCCACATGTATGTTGAAATTTTCTTGGGGGAAAATTAACGCGTATCATATCTTATTTCTAAATGTTTTTAACAGGTTTTATTATATAATATTATGAAAAAGTAGGGGGTCAGATTTCTCTGGGGGTCATTTTTCAACGCGAGAGGAGTCGTAGAATTGGCGACCTGGAAGGGTTTTCTACGGTCGAAAAATGACCCTACTTGTCGTGGAATATTGACTCAGGATCATTTTTCTACGTAGAAATTTGACCCCCTGGTCAATATTCTACGGGAGTCACTTTTCGTCGTTACACCGGCGCTAAGTGACAACTCGCTAGCTCAAACTGACAACGTGCTAACGCGTTTTAAATAGCGCGTTGTTTACAACGCGCCGGCGCGTTGTTACTAATGTATTGTTGCACTTTTGCAAGTGACAACGTAACGCAACTTTACACAATGTATTGTGTGTTAGCGCGACGGCGTGTTGTTGTAAAGTTGCATTAACGTGGCGGCGTGCTGTTAGCGTGATGGCGTGTTGTGTACGTGTTAGTGCGACGGTTTGTTGTGTAAAGTTGTCGTCACTTCGCGCTAGCTTACTGCTAGCGCGTTGTTCCGAACGCGCTGTTACACTTTGCAACTGGTCCTATCGGGACACCATAATTCAGTCTCACTAGTAGTATAGATGTTTTATTAATATTAGTTCAGCCTTCAGTAGATTTAATTTTGAACTAGTTTATCTCCTTAACACATTCTTAACGAGTTCTCCTTCACCCCCCCCCCCTTTATAATTTTCAATCAAATTAAAATCGCATGACGTTCCGAATCTGCTATATCTTTTCTGAGGCGGTAGTGGATTCGAACATTTAATTTTAATTATAGATTGTTTATAAAGCAGAACTTTTTGAGGGGCATCTTCGCAAGTCACGGGTTTTGTGTCCATTCTATTTCCACAAACCCGGTTTGTGGAAATAGAATGGACACAAAACCCGTGGCTTGCGACGATGTTTGAGGGGAGAAGATTAAAATGTTTTATCTTTGCACAGAATAGATCTAATCTACAATGTGAATACAAAATGTAGCTATGCCATCATTTCTTCATTTTCAGTTAACTGATTGTTGCTACACATACAAAATCAAATATTTATTGGCGCAAACACAGCTAGAATACATGACATATATAGGTCATTTAGAATATTGGAAAGGTGAGAGGGCGGAAAACAAAATCTGACGTAAGAGTTACCGCTCTTTACAGTTCTCGAACGTGTGGAGGCGCATTTATCCTTAGCAAGTGTAATCAATATTTTAAAGTCACAACTTTTTTTAAAAAAGAAAAAGTTTTATGAATTTTTAGCATATCTGTCAAGGAACTATGGAGGTCACAAATGGACTTCTATCAAACTTAGTGCAGACCAAATCAATTGAGAGGGTTTTGGCGCCAATTGCTTCACAGGTACGTTGAACATTATTTGATATTTTCAATATTTTGATCGCTATGTTGCGACACACCCCATCAGAATTCATTGTCATTTTTATATGTATTTATTTCTGAATCATATATTTATAATGCATACTAGGCCTAGCTCATAGCTAGGGTCTTGAGAAATCTGGGCAAACACTGGTATATCTCCCCTATCTACCAATTAATGTATACCAGGTCCAGTACAATCAGTACACTTAGCTACGTAGCTAAAATTACCTACCGTAGCTTTATTTACCTACCTCATTAGCTTTATTTAGCTATTTCAAGGCAACTTTTCACAATTTTGCTTTTTATTTTAAAAAGACAAAAAGTTGCAAGTAAATGACAAATAATATTTAAAAAGCAGTCTAAAACAGAGATAGTTTTAACATTGCTACGTTTGAACACTTTTAAGGAAAATATGTATTTCCATTGTTTGAGTAACTGTACACACCTTGTGTGCGATGAGGCGTGGATAAGTATGCATGATTACTTCACATTGTGCTCATGTTAATCAAAACTGGTTTTCTTTGTTATTTTACTCAAGAAGTAACTGTTAGGTCACAAATTAACTGTTGGATATAGCCCCAAAACTTCTAGAACTTTGATTGCAATTGTGCAGAAAAAGACATATCTCCAAGCGTAATTTTTTCATGAACTGTTTTCAGATGAGTTCAAAGTTGAAAATTATCACTGCATCAAAATGTAATTTTCTGCACTTTCTGGGAAAAATACTAATTTAAAAAATAAGTTTGATTTAGTAGCTAAATAAAGCTACTTCAGGTAGGTAAATAAAGCTATGTAGGTAATTCAAACTACGTAGCTAAATCAAGTGATTGTACCAGACTTGTATACATGTACATACCAGTATGCTCAGATTGCCTGAAGACCCTGTGTACTAGCTGTTTTCGTTGTTAAACAGGTTTCCTTATTGATCATACTGGACGAGTCGGAGAAAGGCGTTGGAAAGCCAGATCACATGGGTCCTTGTGCCCAGGCAGTTATGAAAGCTGCAGAAAACCTCATAAAGATTGGAAAAGAGAGAGCAAACAATTCTCCAGATCAGGTATCTTCTTTCCTTCATTGCGTAGACATTGCATTAGCCAGTAAGTCAATTTTAGAACATTGAAACATTAAAAGTAAGCATGAATTAAACTTCAACTGTGAAAGCATGATGGACAATGAGGGGTAATCAGGTCATGTAACCTATCTGACTCATAGCCAAAGAAAATTATAGACTTTTTTTTTAAATAAAAGATAACATCAACTCATAAACTGAATAATGAGTATATACATAAGATATTTCATATATGAACATTACATTTAAAAAAAGACATATTTAATTGTTATTTATTTGAATTTAAAAATGTGATGTAGCATCTTAGACAATAATTTATTACTACTGTCGAAAATGAAAAATCTATCTTCATGCATTTATACCAAAGTTATCTTGTTTATCAGGATTACCAAAGACACATGATGAGTGCTTGTGAAATTTTGGATTTAGCCAGTAGTGATTTATACATCGCCTCTCAGAGGCTTGGGGATGACTCATCGAAAGAAATTCGTACAAAAGTAATTAGTGCAGCCAAAGATGTTTTACAAGGGACAATGAAGGTAAACAACATGATAAAATTTTAATTTAAATGTATACATTTGATGCTAAGCAGTGTTTGAAATAACAGTGCGCCCAACAGCCCGAGACGCACAAATTTTGCAGCGGGTGAACAAATTTGCATGTATTGACGCCCGGCTGGACGTGTTAAAATTTTCAATAATTAAAATTCATATATTTGATAAATCTCTTTGTATTGATAGCAAAGTGTAACAAGCCAAGAGGAAGAATTCATCAGTCTATACACTCAAGCTCAATAAAATGGTGCAAATGATGTCGCTGGGGGTTAAGCGTAAAAAAATAATGAAATGTCAAAGAAAATATTTTTTGAATGAATGCATGAATATGTAACCTTTAAGGCAAAAATACAAAAATGAAGTGAACAAATCATATTGAGATATTTTATTTGGCATATAGTGAATTTTTGAAATATACGTTACTGTCACCAACATCGAATAATTACACTTAAATGGCTATTTTTTGTACAAATAACAGTTGAATCTTAAATTAGATAGCATATGTCTTCAAAACATTTATTTGTAAAATGCTTTTAATAAATTATTGAGCATAATCACAAATATATTACCAAACTTTGATTTGATATCCCCATGTCGCCAGAAACAAAATAAAAACGGTCTGTGACATTAAATATAGTATGAGTATTCGGTATTGTATGCCTGTAAGATTGGAATATGTTTTATTTTGAAGGAAACTTCTTGAAAATTAAAAATAAATGGTACAAAGCCTTGTATATGTTACCAATACTTTGAAATTACATTCTATCTTCCTATTTTACATGCGTATGGATAGGCATGAAACATTCGTTGTATTAGTTTAATAGATGAAATAGAATGATATCATAGTTATAAACATGTGATACTTTTTCTTCTATCCAACAACTGTATTCCATGCTCCAACCATGATTTAACAATGTCTCATTGTTAGCTTACTATTTAAGAGAAAATTATTAAATGAAACAACCGTTACCAAAACATTCGTTACCAAACCTCTTAAAAGAGAATGATTTATGAGTTCAAACATCTTCTGCACATATACGTAGTCAAATATTTTGCGCCAGTATTCAAATTTTGACATCCGGAGTACAGTACTGCCTTTATATGATTTTTTTCTAAAGTCTAAACAGTGTTGGTGAGTTTGTTTTCTAGAATGCAATAACAATGAATCAAATGGAATGCATTAGTATATTACTGTTAATATTTATATAACGACCGACAAAAACTACGCAACCAGTATCAATCTACACCTGAATGTCCTCTATTAGTTTTGAAAGGTGTTCAAACATTCGTTAACAAAGGTAATGAATGTTACAAAATTTTTAACAAATCATATATGAAAATTGCAACAATATTTACAGAATTTCTTTCATGACTAATTGTTTGAATGTAAACTTTATTGATTGATTTGTATTATTTTAAGCTTAAGTTGCATAAATTTTAATATAAACTGATTCTAGAGACGCATTATTGAACACACACACATTAATCCTGAAGAAAAACATTAATTGAAATTATTTTGAAAGACATTTTTAGATTGAATCATATGATATTGATTAATCAAAGGCTTGAGTTTCTATTCTGAATCTACATCAGGGTTTTTTTGATTCTCTCTTATAATTTTGATACTGTTAAACTCGCATTTTATGTTAAGTAACGTACGTTTCAGCATTTTATTTTAGTTGAACTATGGCATTGACCCAAGCAGAAATACAAAGGAAGTTTCCATTGATGGTTAAATGATTTCAAGCTAAAAGTCATCAGAAAAATTGTTATTTACATTATTTTAGGTTCTGTTAAAACGTCTATACAGACAATTTTACATATATCTCTTATCCGTTTGTACATATAGTACAGTTCAAGGAAAATATGACACGATGATATATATGATGCAGTTCAAATTATGATTTCTTTTGACATTTTCAATACCATGGCACAAGTAGAGCAGAAATTACATCTCATGAATTGGTCCATTTTGTTGGAATTAATCTTAAAAACAGTAAATATTACTTCTCATGAAACATCCGTTACATACGAACGTTGTTGTATTTGAAAGTGTAAATATTTATAAGAACAAGATCACAATTCATGAACAACATTTTATTTAACGTTTCTATAAATGGATCCTCTATTCATTTAGAACCCCCATTTGCGCTGGGCAGTTTTGATTTTTCTTGAGGCATATTTGAAATATAAAATTTTAGAGATATGTCAAATTCATTTGAAGAAAAAAATATAATACCATAATTTGACTGCATCAATCTATAAAATACATTATGACAGTTGACCTTTTTTGTCTTATCACGAAAGTAAATAGACAGATTTGCTTTTGACATTGAGGATTTATTACAATCTATATTATTTCACCCTAAAATCTTAAAGGAAAACTATAATATGATACATAACGCTTGTTTCTCAGCAAATAATGATCAACAATACCGTACACCTTTATTTCAAATTGACATAATTTCTTAGCCAATGAACTTAACTTGAAAAATCTTTGGGAATACAAACTTGATATGTTGATCTATCCAAAAATGTTGTTAGCAGATGGATAATCAAAAGTCGATTTTTGAAGAAAAAATATCTTGAATTGCACCATTTTATTGAGTTTGGGTGTATAGATTCTGCTTCGAAGTTATGGTGACCTGGTTACAGTCACATAATCGTTAAAAACAAATTTATAAAAGACAATAATTTTCTCGAACTGGTAGATCTTTGGCAGGGCTGACAACTTTTACTAGCAGTCAGCCCTGCTTGTCTGGCTAATTTTGCAGTGAGTTTCAAACACTGTGCTAAGTTAGAAAATTTGAGTAGTATATGTACATTGTGCAGTAAAATTCAGTTGTAAGGGTGTCACTGGGACTTCTAATCTTATTCTCTATGTTCGTGTAAGGAACATGGTGAAAAATTGTCTAGGAGATTCATAAAAAATTCCTTTTAACCAAGATTTCCTGAGTTTTGCTGCTTTTCTGTTGAAGGTCCTGCTCGTGTCTGATGATGCAGAGGTAAAAAAAATTGTCAGTGCTGGTCGCTTGGTAGTAGATTGCCTCACCAGACTTAGTACAGTAAGCCGCATGCCAGATTTACTGTCTAATTTCAAGGTATGAACTGCTCTGTTTATCATGTCTGAGTTTTAATTTAATAATCAAATTTCTCAAACTTTCTTTGTTATCATTGTCTACAGAGTTTCACAGATGGAACAACACTCCTTTGCTCACTGGCCCAGAAACGTCAGATGGAATTATGCCAGAATCATCAAAGGGAGAGAATAATTACAGCTCTCAATCTATTGAAGAAGTCTATACCTTCCATGAGTGTCGCACTGCAGAGTTATATCAAGTACCCCAAAAATCAACAGGCACAGGTGATCTAGCACATCGATGCATGCATTTACAAGATATAAAACTAAAGAATTATCTTAATTATGATATTTATTTGACAAGCAAAGTATATTAGTAGGGATGGGTATCGGCAAAATTTTCGTATCATGATATATCATGATTTTTTCCAAAAATATCACGATAAATCGTGATGTTTTTACACACAATTCTTACTACAATTTCATATGAATTTCCATGATATTTCTTAAAAATATGCGATAAAAGCATTACTTAACTTTTTAAATTTTTATTTATTTAATATAAAGCATGTTAGGATGCCGTTGTTTAACTGTTTTCAACATTTTTTGCACTTCCTGTAATTGTCTTTCAATAGTTTCAACAAATAAATGAATGATTTCCGGAATTTATAATTATGTACCATATACCGGTATTTTAGTCTCCGTATCACGATACGTATCGCACAATAAAAAATCGCAATATACCGGTATACCGATAAAATCGCGCATCCCTATATATTAGGTGATAATTTAATATGTCTGTATCAATTTATCAACTTAACTATGCAGAAGAAAGGAGAAAATGTTTATTTATATATTTTACCATGTATGTACTTTTATAGATTAATGATTCTGAAGAAGAACAGCAATTTATATAGGTTTTCATTCTGTTTTAGCTTACCTTTGTAAAAGAATGCAATGAAATGAACTTTTCTGATCAAAGATTTTCCATCAATCAGAGTGATATCTTCCTTCTTTATGTTACTTTCCATTTTTGACCTATTTACCAGATGTAGTATACAGGTGTGGATTCAATTTCTTTTTCAAATCATTACCCAGTGACCAGAGTTCAAAGTTTTAAATAAGAGCATACAACATGAATGAGAATTCTTAAAACAAACCTTGTAGTAGATCTTCCACAGAACAGCGAGACTTAATAGTTCCCATGTATGCGTACTGTAGATTCAACTTCTCTACAAGGTCACTATTCTGAGGCTTAGTTGGGGTTTCACATTGGAATATGCAGAAAAATATTTGCAAAATCTTCTGCAGAAAAAATATGGTGGTAATGATTTAAGAATCCTGTGAAAAATCTTCATTTGTCACAGAGGAATAAAATTTGACCAAGAGTTAACAATGTGGCTTCATTTATAACTTATAATGCTGTTAAGTGAATTGCTATTATGTGCTATGAATGCTTTGTTTTACAGATGAGTAGATCCTTTGTGATTAACCAGACTCAGTCAGCTGTGTCAGACATTATGGAGGCCGTAGAAAACAAGTTCACAGACGAGGATTACCTGGATGTAGAGGAACCAGGCTACTTTGTCACCAAGATTGACCAGGTCTGTCTAATATTGTGTAGAGTTACATCCCCTTTTGATTCTTACAAATTGAGTATTTTTGTCACTCTAATCAATATGTTGCATAAACATGAAAAAGTTTCTTTAGGTGACTTTAACTACTGGTACCTACACATATATGATTTTTAGCTCATAAAAGGAGATCCAAGTTTTCTGTGGGAATACCAGGTATATGGGAAAAAAATGTATAAAAATCTTCTTCTCATGAACAGCAGGGCCATGATCAGTGATATTAAATTACAAGTATCCCCAGGCAGTTCAGATTCAAGTTTGTTCAAATCATAGCCAATTGGGGTAGGATATATGGGCCTCACATATGGGATCAAAGTTTAACAAGGACTTATATAAGAAACGTTTTTTTTTTTTAAAATTTAATTTTTCAAGAGCAACAGGACCATGATTAGTGATATTTATATGCAAGCATCCTAAGATAGTGCAGATTCAAGTTTGTTCAAATTATAGCCCATTGGGTTGGGTGGGCCCAAATTATAGCCCATTGGGTTGGGTGGGCCCAAATTATAGCCCATTGGGTTGGGTGGGCCCAAAATAATTGATCAAAGTTTAACATTACATGCAAATAGTTTAAAAATCTTTTCAAGAATAGCAGTGCTTGATTTAGTTAATATATTAGATGCAAGGATTCACATGTAGTGCAGATTCAAGATTGTATAAATTATGGCCCCCAGAGTGAGGTGGATCCACAATAGAATATCAACATATTAAAAGAAATTAAGGATTTCATTTTTAAATAATTTAATTCTGGTTATAACGGGGTATTTGATTGGATAAAAAATTTACCACGGTACTTTATATCATATAAAATGAGTTGTCTACATCACAATGACTCGTCAAAAACGTATCGATCCACCTGATGTTACATTTAAATTTTGTACAAAGGGCAATCATTTTTTTTTCTAATAAATGAATGAATTCAAAATTGAATTATAAATAATGAATTTAATAGCTACCCAATTTATATGGTACATGTATAAACTGGGTTGGAACAGTTTACGTTTTCTTTAGAGCATAAACTGCCCCAACTCAGTTTGTACCATATAAATTGGGTAGCTATTAAATTCATTCCTTAAAACATTAATTTAAAATATAACAGACCACACTACATTCATCATGTTCATTAATATACAAACATTCTAAGGTTTTATGGATTCATTTTTTTCTTCAAATAATAGATCCTGGGGTTAAAGTAAAGCTAAAATCAGGAATTTTAGCCTTACTCTATGTTGATGCTGTTTAACTTCTTCTGCAGAACAGCAAGGTAATGCTAGTCGTAATGATATTGAAGCATCATCTGGATGTGTTGATTTATGTTAAGTTATGTCATGATCTTTTTGGGCTAGGGAGGGGCCACAATATTTGGTACAAAATTTTCTTGTGAATAAAGATAGAATTTAATATTTTAATCTTTTGATGAAGAGCAGTAGTTTCAATGTGACTCAGGTGAGCATTGTGGCCCATGGGCTTCTTGTTTTTTTTGTTATTGATTATAAATATGAGCCTAGTATGTGAAAGTAATACAGGTGTTTTAGTAATAGAATTAAAGATGAGTCTTATGCTTTAATATTTTCTTAATCAGTTTACTTTTCCTTTTGCCCTCAGGTGTTGGAGGCCCTGTCAATGGAGAAGCGTGGTGATCTGGATGCTGATCTGGAGACCTGGACTGAGAACCTGGTCCGGCACAGCATGTTGGTGGCTCATCTCTGTCTGGATCACTACAGGAATATCATTGTAAAAACCTGCCAAAGGGTGAGAGGCTGCAATTTACAAGCTTTTTGAAAGATACGATGTTTTTTTTTTCTTTAAATGTTTTGCTTGTTATTCACATATCAAAAATAATAAAAGATGATGTGCTGAAATGGATGTGAATCATATGATACACATGTACCAGTAATAAACAAATGGGTATGAATGAGTGCTTTGAATAGGAAGAGTGTATAGTTTGTATTAGTTGCATATAGATGCTTTGCTTGAATTTGTAGTTTAGTTATTTCAGTATGTAGATGCTTAATAAAAATATTGATATTTCAAGGTCTTGCAGTTGAAAAGCAGAGTTTTGCAGCTTCACAATGCAATGAAAAATAACCCTGAACTGCCTGCAATTGGGTAGGAAATTTAAAGGAACATAATGGTCGGACTTATCTTTAAATAGAAATATATAATAATAAGGCCACTTATATTCTATTTTCTCTCATAACTTTTAAGTTTGATCCCATTATAGGAGGATAAAGATTTCAGATATATAAATTTTGTACAGAAAATCAATAGCAATGCAGTTAGCTATTTGTGGTAAATCTGTAAATATTCCTGCAGTGAAATTGATGTAAAATCCAGTATATGTATTTTCAGAGGCATAGAGCTTGTGCTCATGCAGCTTCTGCTTTGCAGAATCATTGAACATGCATAATCTGAACTTTGAGGCACATCAATTTATTTCATGTTAAGCATGAAGTCATTCACTCTTAAAATAAAAGTGATTGTCTAAAGACTCACCAGAGACATTAAATGTCAGACTATGTTAAGATTATACTTTATTTAAACTTGCCATCCTAAGCTTTAGACTATTACATGTAAGTGTAGTAAAAGCTTCATAAAATCATTGTTCATGTTTAAATCTGTGCTCTTTTTACAGGGAGGACTATGACGAATGTTGTGAGAATTATATTGATGAATTCTGTGAACTGGAGAAGGATGTGAACCTAGCGTTACTGAACCTGGTGGTAGACATCTTCAAAGAAACCACAGAACCTCTGGAGAGACTGGTGAAAGCGGCCATGTATTCTACACAGGTCATTCTTGTTTAATTAAAGAAGCTTGGAATTTAATACTGGAATATACTCGAGAGAGGAGTCTTTGAAATTTTAAATGTTTTTGGGAACAAGAATCTTTTGACCCCCCCCCCCTCCTTTTTCAGTTGAAATTTTAAATACATGTAATTAATGTACATCTAAAGTGCAAAGTTTTCTATTCAAGGAAAAGGGATTTGAACAGCATATGAAAGAATTAGTAACAGAATTCCAGACACATGCAGATAAAATGGGACAGATAGCCTCTTTTGCTGCTGCCAGCTCCACAGATGCACAACGTATGCATATAAATTAAGAATGATTGTACTTTTAATGAAATATTAGAATCAATATAAAATTAAATCTTAATATTAGAATTTTTTCTATCGTCAGGTGTTAGAACCATTCGACGATGTGTGTGTCACCTAGAGAGACTTGACCCAGATATTGTTCCTGCAGTTGTAGCCATGGCAAAGAAATCTCAGGACAAAATGGCCGTACGACATGTCAAATTACTGATGAAAGAATGGACATTTGAATTGACATCTCTGATGCAGGTTCTAGATGAAATGACTGACCCAAGTATATTTATGCAAGTCTCAGGTATGTGTTGTAGAATTTTCTATGAAAATGTCTGTAAGGTTGAACATGTTTGTTTAGAGGATTAATTAATGTAACTCCTGATTAGTATTTTCACTGATGCCAGACAACCAATGAATGGAATTCAGAAGATTGATGAAATGGCACTTGTCTGGTACTTAATTAGCAAGATTGTTAATATTAAAGTACTTCTACATGTATGAAGTCTTACTTTGAAATTTTTAGACATCTGAATGATCTGCTTATTTTTCAGAGTCTAGAATTAAGGAGGATATTTCTCTCTGCCATGGGTTTCTGGCTGAGGAAGATGACCAGGGTTTGGGGTCTGCTGTGAAATCTCTGATTGGACGAGCCAGAAGAGTGTATCAGATGGCAGAAAGAATCATTGGTGGACATAAGGACCCACTGTACAGGAACGGATTATTGGTGTTTGTCAAACAACTGCAAAAAGGTAGTGTAAATTAAAGTATGCAAAAAGCAATTAGTTTTTGTATTTAGTTTGTATAAAGTACTTGTGAAATTGATCTATGGACGTGTTTTGTTTTAAGAAATGTGAATGTTTAAAATCTTTTTTTTTTTTTTACAGCTGTGACTGGGTTAAGAGCTGCTAACAGTAACCTTGTAGCAGACAGACAGAACAGTGCCTTTACAGAAACTTTTCAGAAGCGACTTGAGCAGGTGCTTGACCGTGTGAAACAGGTCACGGCTGGTTTGTCCGAGGACAGCCATCCTGATATCCTCAGTCCTCAGAGAAAAAATCTAAGACAAACAGGTGAATCATTATACATGTATGATGATGATATTTCCATAAAAAAAAAATAAATTCAAATTATATAGAAGGATGCCAAACTAATGTATTTTCCAGTTTGTTTGCTGCAAAGTTTATGAGTCATCTACAGACTCCCCTATGTAAGGATTTCCAATATAATATCTATTTATAGCAAGTTAACATAGTAAATGTAAAAAAATATATTGAAAAGTCACTTTTAGATATTAAACATATTGGTATTGCACTCTTCTTATTGAGCTAAGAGACACTTGAAGATGAAACCTTATAATATGTGAGAAATATTTGCATCAAATCATGAAGAACATCTATTGAATCTTGATTTAAATTACGGTATTATCTACTGATGTTTCCATTTAGTATTATATAAATATTGCATGTAGTTGAGTCTAACATTGAAAATTTTCACCCCAAGAAAACCATTGTCAACCGAGGCGCAGCTGAGGTTGACAACAGTTTTCGAAGGGTGAAAATTTTCAATGTTACACTCAAATACATGCAATATTTATTATATTATACTGAATGTTTTATACAAATACATGTAACAGTGAACCTTGCACGCATAAATTCTGCGAAGTCACTCTTTTTTGGAATATCACCCGTCGTCAAGCAATGTTGACTGTTGCTAAGCTGGAGGGCGTGGCTTCATCATTCAGAGGGTAATAGTGTCACAGTAGCCTGGTTCACGTCACAAAATTGCTGATGGACTTCTTTAAATTGTTTCAGTATGTTAAAATTGAAAGTGAATTTAAGAGCAGTGCCAAATTTGAAAGTTTATGCTTATTTTAAAAGTTTTTGCTTGTGTTGGTATAATAAACAATTTATTACATGAAAGTTTGGGAAACATGAAGATTTATTCAGCCAAGAAATATCATATTCCCCTCGGGCGAAGCCTTCGGGGAATATGACTTTTCATGGCTGAATAAATCTTCATATTTCACTCACGATCATGCAGTAAATGTATTATAGCAAGAAATAAGGAGCAGGGGCATATTGGTTTTGGTATAACTGACTCTGCCCATCTAATAATAAATTGAAATTTATATATATTGGAAGCAGTTTCCAAGATGATAGTCTTTAAAACTTAGGTTTTCATTTTTCAGCAATGTCACATTCAAATATTTACAAGAAATCTTCCAAATCAACTCTCCAATCATCTAGAACAAGTTTACAAGATCAACCATCTGCAAGTAATATACAGGACAAGTCATCCAAAACAAGTCCACATAATAAGTCATCCAGAACAAGTCTGCATGACAAGTCATCCACAGCAAGTCTGCATGACAAGTCATCCAGAACTAGTCTCCATGACAAGTCAACCAGAACAAGTCTGCATGACAAGTCATCTGTAACAAGTCTTGGGTTTCAGTCCTTCCACATGTCTTCCACTGACTACACTGATGTCTTCCTGGAGAACGCAGAGGAGAAACCATTCCAGAAATCCACATCTTCCATCCAACAATCTAGTCCTACAAAATCTACCTCAGGTTATAGAAGCAATGGTATATTGCAGGCTTCTCAGGGACAAGAAGGTTAGTTCATTAGATCTGCTTTTTCTTAAAAGATACATAAACATATATATCTATTCAGTAACATTTCCCTTCTAAATTATGTTGGATCCTTTGCTGTGTTAGATAGCCCATTATCTTTAAAAAGTCTAAAGATTTAAAAAGGCTGCATATTTTATTGACATTATTTTGTAATTATGCAATCAGAAATCTTAAATGAACTGATATAAATCAGGTACATATATTAAGCTGTCTTGATATGTTGTGAACATACATGTAGAGTCACCAAGAACATCCAATTCCATCCTGTACTATTTTAATTAAATTTGATTTCCTCTTTAAAGATCTAAACTGCCTAGCCAGGAATGTGTCTGAAAGTCTGATAGCAGCTCTTCAGCAACTCAACAAACATAGGACAAATGTTTTATGTGGAGAGTTGTTAGCCTGGACAAACCATGTTGTTGATATGGCCAAACACATTGTCCCTTACTGCACTGGCACCAAACAGAAGTAAACTTTAGCACTTTTTGGAAGTCAGCATGTATTGAAAGAAAGAACCATTGTGAGATCAATCATGAAAATGAAATGATGTTTGATAATGTGATTTCTAATTATGTTCTGTTGTAGAAGTATTAAGACCCTGTGCCATGAGACAGACAGCCTAGCTTCAGAGATCATTGATCAGACAAAGTTGGCTATTGCGGGAGACACTGAAGAAATCAGGGGGTTGTCTGAACACTGTCTGCAGTGGAGAACTAAGGTGTGTTCCTTGTAGAAAAATAGTGGGTGTCAGTAACTAAAAATTGTTGTGTCAGTTTAAGGTGAAAAATATCTCTAGAGTGACTTACAGCCATCTCTGGTGTTATCCAACTTAAACATTATTACTAAAAAACTAGGATCCTTGTTTTGTATCATAACCAGTCACACTTGAAAAAAATAGAGAAAAAAAAATAAAGCCTGTTACCACAAAATCGGCTTTCACAGGAATGATTTTGTATATTATCATTTTACAGGTGGAGAAACTCCGAGTGTGTGTGGATGCCACAGTGGACACATATAAGGTGGTTCCTGATGCATTGATAGAGGCCATTGATCAACAAAACAAAATGCTGGCAAAAGAAGAGGTAATAACATTTAAAACCCTTGATATACAAGTAATCCCTTGATTAAATTTCAAAGAATTTTCCAGTTCTATTAATAAAATTGAAATTCTTCTTAAAATAATTGCATGCAATCTATATTTGATATGCTGTATATGCAATAACATCTTTTGAAACTTAGTGCTTTAGTGCTTTTCAAGGTACTTTTATATGAATCATATTATCTATATTTGTAAAGTATATATATTTATGTTACATTCAAAAGGGTTGATTTTTCTTTCATGTTTGTTTTAATTTGGAAGACTAAAGAAAAATCCTTGATCTTTATTTCAAACCAGTTGGAGTGCCTTAATACCCACCATCATTGTGTCAGTGACATTGTGACAATGATAGAGGGGTTGGAAAAGACAGAAAAAGTCCCGCTGACACACTGTCAGGACAAAGTCCCGCTGACACACTGTCAGGAACTAGCCGAGGAGCTAGAGAACATCACAGTTACAATCACCACCACTGTTGAAATGAGCTCCAAATCATGTGAGTATTAACTCTTCTTCTGACGTGAAATTATTTGTTTTTGAAAGTGAAATAAGATTGAATATCATACTTAAGGATTTTAAAACAATTGCTGGAAAAGCATCAAGTAGGGATGTGTCAGCCAGCAAATTATTCATGATGCCTTAAAATATGTTACCTTTATTTAATTTGTTTTTACACTCAATGGTTTTCATTACAAAATGCGCATTACAAAAAAGAATAAGTTTTTGAGGGGTTTTTTTCTTTGCTAATGACTAGTTTATTTATATTCATCTTCTATCTTAAACAGTTCCTATTTGGATAGTTACTCTAATTATTTTCAGAAGACAAATAGGAATTATCAACCTTTTCTAATTACTAGTAAAGGTAATATTCTAAAGAATGTACATAAACATTAAATAAATGTACATAAACACTAAATACTAATAAAACAATGTTCTGTAAACATGGAAATTTATAACATTTCAAGGAATATATTTTGTTTTAACCAGTGACAGAAGAAGAAATAAATCAGCTGGACCAGTTAGGGAGGGAGTGGGCTGTCATGATGTTCTGTCTACTCTCTGATCTGGACAGTGTAGTGGAGGGCATAAGTGAGCTAGGAAAGGAAAGAAGGGTGTGGTTCACACAGGATATGACATCAACAGAGCACGATGACATCATTAAACATGTGGAATGTGAAAACAAAAGACTGAGGGACATCCTTCATGGAGCATGTATTGGGTAAGTGTTAAAAACATTTAATTTAGGTCAAAAAAATTAATCAATAGTTTCTCAGGCACGGCCGCATCAGATCAAGAACTGCTGCATTGATAAATTTTATTGACATATTGAAAATGGAAATAGCTCAATTTTCTATTTTTCCAAGTTGAAAAAAGAAAATGGAGTTATTCCTCTTTTCATAAATGATAGGTCAACTTTTTTTTTTACTAGATAAACAATATATTTCTTGTTAATATGGTATTTTATGAATTAACTTTTAAATGTTCGGAATAACACTATTAAAAGTTGAATACATATTATAATTAATGTAAGAGAACTAAAAAGTAAGAATCAGTTGTTATCATTATTTTATTGTAAAAATGACATTAAAAAAGGTATAACACCTGCTTCAAAAAACAAAAAAACAAAACAAAAAAAAACTGCTGCATTGAATTTTGAAAATTTTGGCCTGAGAAACTATTAATGAATTTTTTGGGCTTTATTGCTCTTGATGATACATGTATCTTTGCCTTGAAGACGAGATGTCATTATGGATGTGTTACATGTATTTCAATATATATCTGTACATTTCTTGACCGATCAGGAATGAGACAAGAGCAAAAGAGGCACAGGACTTATGCCAGTGCATGAGTGAACTCTTAGATAGTTTGAAGTCGGAGCAGGCTCAGAGAGTCACAAGTTCACAGCGAGCCTTTGTGGTGTCCAAATCTTATGTCCCCCTCCGAGTCAGAATAGCTAGCATGTGCTGGATTGTTAAGGTACTTAAAACTCAGTTAGAAGGTTTACTTAACAGGATTGATACATGTAATTCAAATTAACAGAAAACGTGATTGTTGTAACCCATACATCAAAGCACTTTTTTTTTTAGTTTTGGTTTGAAATGAAATTGTCCTTGCATGAAAGTTACATGTAATCTATAAATATAAAAAAAAGATTTACACTCATTATTTTCAGGCTGTGTGTTGTGTGGACTTGATACATGGTCAGATCTCTGTTTATTTTAAGCCAGTCCATGCACTTACAGACCTTGGGGTCAAGGCCAGAACCACGACTGAAGGTATAGAATGACTTGTTTTTCAGGATGTTACCTTTGTGAACAAACTTCTTCATATAGCTTTTCTCATTCACAATTTTGTCTTTTAAATGAATATTTGTTGATTTTTAGAAAAAAAGAGAAGATATAACATTGTGCATCTTCTCTACATGAATAAACATATAAATTGTCCCCATCCTTGTAGTACATGTACTGTAAGCAAACTTTCTTCAGTGTGATTAACCTTTTAAAGATTTACTATGATAAAAAAAATCACGGAGGTTCATCCACATAAACAGGACACCCTGATTTTGAAAGCAAAAATTAAAAATATACTGATTGCATTTAATTAGGAAAGCAGAAATTGGGCCATATTTCTGAACTTCAGTTGGAGATCAGCAGATTCAGTGAGAAGTTGGTAAAGCTGAGACAAAGAGTCCAGAACAGTATCCAGCTGTCCACAAATCTGGAGAAACGAGCAGCTGTCCGGAAGTCTCTGGATCAGGTCACTGAGTCCTCACCCAAACTGATCCAGGTCATCAAGGCATTAACAGGTCAAAGTCAAATCTGCAGTTTACTATGCCTGAGAACATTTCTAAAGATCTAAATTTTTAGTTTGCTGAATTTATTATTCTGGAAAGACTTCTTATTTTTCTTGAAGAATTGCATGAAATATATGGAGATAACGAACACTATTCAAGCTTAAAAGTCCATTAAACAATACAAATTTTGGAGCAGAGCAAACATGGACCTCTAAAACATCAGAGGTGGGATCAGGTGCCATAGAGGAGTGAGCATCCCTTGCCGGTCACACCCGCCTTGTGATCCTTGTCATGATCAGGAAATAATTTAATAACAAATGTTTTATGCATCATAGGAGTGAAAAATGTGATCTCTTGAAATTTTATAAAGCACTTGTTACTTGTAATGATGTGATTTGTTTTCTCAGATGAAAATAGTACGATAACAGAAACTATGAATGAAGTGGATAAACAAAAACTTCTGTGGACCTCACAGATAAGACAGTTAATGGTCCACCTTAGACAGATGACAGACATCAAACCCACATTAGTATCTGGTAAGTTAATGCTGATATGTTATATCTGATGCAGTGAACCAGCTTTTAATATCTGCATCTAGTTAAAGTCAATTTTCAAAGGTTAACATATTTAAATGATTTTTCATATTTATATAGGTATTGATATGAATTAATTTTCATATTAAAGATATAACTTCTTTGGGAAAACAAGGAGAGATAATGTTATAATTTTGGTAAAACTTATGTTTTTCATGATAGAAATCACTTAAAAATGGAAAATATTTTTAAAGCATCTTTGTATATGTGACACGTGATATGCATCAACTCATTTCCTAGAAAGTGCAGGGGTGGATCAATCAGCAAAATCTCAAAAAAATGTCATAAAAATGCATTCAGTACTTCTTCAATGTTAAATGAAATTAAAGGAATTTGAGACTTGTACAGTAGTATTGGTTATGCATGACTTACAATGAAATTGTTTATCTCATTAAATATTTTTAATCTGACAAACCAGAAAGGCTTAATTCTTTATGATGCCACCCTCATTATAATGCCAAAATGGACAGAGACAAAAGCTGACAATATATCAAGGGAACACTGTACTTCAAATCTCAGTGAAGAGTAAATTTGATTGAACTTGCATTCACTATGCAGTATCTGTATTGAATGCCATTATTTGTTTGGTTTTTTTTTCTCCTCATTTTAATTAAGTTATGCTCTTTTGCCAGTTTGGTCATCTAAAATTTATCCAGCCATCTGTTCACTGAAGTGAACTTCCTCTTACTCCTAAGGGGTGACAACTTTTCAGATTAACTATTAAGGAGATATATTGGCTTCAATTCAGATAGTGTGGGGAGTAGAAATAACCTACATCATCTTTTTAGGAAGTTTTTTTTTTGTGACAACATCATTTCCTTTTCATTTCTTTACCTAATATGCAGATAATTTAGGACTGATCATAGAATCAAGAATTTATTTGAATTGTAGATACTTTGCAACCCAGACATACTGTATAACAAAGTCCTTTTTTCCACCTAAAATATAGAACTTCACAACATGTTGGGTGTTATGGATGTGTCTGAAGTAACGGCAGAAGACAAGGAGACAGAGACCTTAGCAGGAAATTATCGCCCATCTGGAACTCTAGAAAACCACAAATCCAGATCTCAATTCCAGCCAGCTAAATTCAAGTCAGTCCATGAGGAACTTCTACAGGTCACAAGGTACATCATGTAAAAATCAGTTACCAGTTTGATGACAATTGTAAATACCTCCTAAATGATTATGTTTAATCACTAATGGTCTGACGAATGTTCAGGGAAAGAGATCTGGAAGCAAATGTTGGAACTTTTAACAGAGATAGAGGAAAAGGCAACTCAAAGTCCCCTTACAAGTCCTCGGCATCAATTCTGGTATATATTTTGTGAATCTTTTATTCTGTAATTGAGCTTTGTGTGTTTGTAGCTTAGTCAGTAACATTTCCAAATAATTTTCCCAGAGTGCTGCTAAATATCTCCAAAAAGAGGCTGATAAGTGGGAAGATGAAAACAACCCAATTGTTCAGGTCGCCAAGGAGATGTCACTACAGATGCAGCAGATGGCAGAATACTGTAAGGGGGATGGTCCAGTTGGTGTAAGTTTTTCACTTGTGTATTTTAAAACATTTTTTTTTAGTTTTTTTTTCCTGATTTGTCCTTTGACACCTATTTGAAAGTGTCTGAATTTGTTAAGGTATTATTATGTTTTCAGTGTGTATATAATGGCCATTTAATACTGTAAATGTACTTTTTTTTCCATGGGGTAATAATTCCGCAGAATCACAATTTCTGTTTAATCTGCAGGTAGAAAATTAGATTTTTTTATATCTTAGATTGTCACTATATGCTTTACTTGTACTTTAAGTATGCTGGAACAAACTGCGGAAATGTGTGATTGCGTACATAGCATAAATCAATACCACTTGAAAAAAGTACAGTACTTCTACAGTATATGAAATACATTTCCTCAGTGTGAAATGATATATACCAACTGTTTGCTTTTCAGTTTGACTGAAAAAGATAAATATTTTTTGTGGCTTTCTAAAATTTAATCCCCCTGTTTTTTTTTAAAGTATGTTGCTTATTGACTATGAAAGCCCTCATATCTAGTAAATGACTTTGACTATATTCTGTATGCATGATTTTCCACTGTAAATCAAGGTTGTATATTTTTTGTGTTGTAGAATCATCAGGATGTTGTTAAGGTTGCTTTGGCAATCGCTGAGAATGGCAAGAAAATGAAACAATTTACAGACGTGCTTGCCAGTCACTGTGTTGATCAGAGGTAATAAAATTAACATAAATATATAATAACAGATAAATACAAGAAACCTCTACTTTCTTTATGCAAAAAAAAAAAAAAAGATTCCTAGAAATTAATTCAAGATAAAATATTGGTTAGTGAGTTCCTGGGCAAAGGAAAAAATTTGGACTGCGCACATTATTTGAAATGAATTCTTTTCAGCCATAACCTCAGGACCCTCAATCTTTTGCAAATTGCTTCTACATTCTAGCAGTAACAATAAAAGTTTCCCAAGATATAAAGAAACTCCCTTGATTTAAAGGTGCTTGGACACAGATTTGAAGTTAATATTTTCTCAGATTTTCTGTATAATTTCATGACTTGTATGTTGCTATAGCATTTCATACTAAAATATAATACAAATCTTATTTCATCTCAAAGTTATTAAAACTTCGAATTTCTGGACGCGTTGGATTGACACATCCTTGCGCATTCACATATTTTGATTTAATTCTTAATACTTAAGAAAAGTGGCAATTTTGTTGTGTATTAATGAAAAATATTAAAACTATAACCCAGAAAATTCAGAGTAGAAATGTTCGAAAGCAAAACCCACTCACAGTATTGTAAGTCCGTGCTCAGTGGTGTGTGCAGAGTTTGACAATTGAACACACCCGGTGAATCGTAAACATTAACAATAACAGAGCTTGTGCTCTGTTTACAAAAACAGTTTACGCTTCACGGGTGTGTTCAATCTGTTAAACTCTATACACATTACAGAGCACGGACTGACAATACTGGTGAGCTGGTTTTGCTTTTGAACATTTTTACTCTGAATTTTCTGGATTATAGATGTAATATTTTTCATTAATACTTAACAAAATCGCTTCTTTTCTTAAATATTAAGGATAAAGTTAAAATTTGTTGAAGTGCAAAGATGTGTTAATCAAACGCGTCCTGGAATTCGTAGTTCCAATAATTTCCAGATAAAATAAGATTTTAATTATATTTTCATGTGAAATGCTATAGCAATATATAAGTCATGATATTATACAGAAAATTTGAGAAAATATTAAGTTCAAATCTGTGTCTAAGCACCTTTAATGGATATTGCAGATAGATAGTACACCTGTAGATTAAATGTTCTTTGTAAAAAATTGCACTTCTCAGACTTCCTTATGGAAAAGCAACTATTAAACAATGTCATGTGATGTCACGTTCAAAGCAAATAGGTATGCAGTGGTCACATCATCAACATATTATGGTTTTGCATCTTTATCATAATACAGTGTAAAATCTGAAGTAGCAAATGTACATTTAGATATATAATTACATGTACTTTGCCTGAGTTCAGTAATGTACAAATGTTACAGTATACAGATACATGTAAATTAACTGTGGATACAAGCTCTTCATTCTTATTTCAATTAAACTCATCATTTGTTCGTTTAAGAATTGAGACTTTGCTCTTTGTATTAACTATATAACTTAATTTGCAGAAATGCAGTCCCTATAAAAACCTTCATTTCGTATAACATGGTCCCCTCCTGATGGCTATAATAAAATGGGTTACAGTAAGGTAACATGGAATAACATGTATTTTGATTTAGGTGTGGCAAGGACTTACAACACTATGCTGATCAGATTCCATCCCTGAGTAAACAGTTGACAATTTTAGCCAACGTCCAGATGAGCTCACAGGATGACAACAGAGTAGGTATTATTGAGTGTAGAGATATTAAAAAAAATCACAGGTATCTTCATCTTTAGTTTATGTGTGGTATGAACAATATTAAAGAGAATCTTATTTTTTGGTTTTGATTTAGAGAGTATATAGTAATGGTTAAGAAATGTATAAAATTATTGAAGAAAGTGCGTGTTCATACACATACCGGTATACATGTAACTTGACAGAGAATTCTGGAATTTGACTATCTACTGCAAAAAACAAATGTTTGCTGGTTTTACATTTTATAAAATACATAACAATTACTTTAATTTATTTAGACATACAATATTTCCACCCTTTCAGTATAATACAACTGAAATTTATACTGTATTTATATGGACATTTTACTTGCAATTCTTTCTTCACAAAGTTGTGGATAATCTTTTTTCAATACATGTATAACAAGCTACCATTATTATTACATTTACAGAGAAGCATTAGAATTTTACGTGTTAAATATTCATATTGTGATAAACAATACTTAAGTGTATGCAGTTGTGTTTTGTATTTTTGACTGACCACTGTATTTTCAGCAGAGCCCAGATAAGGTAGACTGTGTGTTTGTGTGTGGCACGTATTTCCACTTTCATCATCTAGAACTCTATAATTAATATAAAGTGAAGCTGCACATTCACATTCTTGGCTCACTTTATACAAATACTTCAAAACTGCTCCATTTTCAGAATTTTTGTGCCACTTGCCAGTGTAGGAGATGCTATTATACTTTCATGTTCTTTTAAACTCGTATTGATTTCATTGAGCTTCTCCAGAAATCGAGTTTATGGCATATGGTTGATTTACTTCATTTGATTAATCATGTAGCATTCATAAGACTTACTTTTTAGCATCATGAGGTTTTGGCATTCAGATCTATTCCTGAGTGATTTTATTTGTTCTTTGAATTCTTGTTGCACAATTATTTATTTTTTATAAGCATGTAAATAAATATACGTAACAATCAAAGTCTTTCAAATTAAAAAACAAATTCACAATATAAACACTGTATGTGTAATTTAATTGTGTTAGCATGAGAAAATATGAAATTGTATTCAGTTTTTCTAATACTTTGTATTATGATAAATGTAAATCCAGTTTTGTTTTCATTTTGACTGCAGGCTGACAGAATCTTGGTTCAGAATGCGAACAATCTTATGACAGCTGTAATGCGTGCGATGACGGCTGCAGAATCTGTCTGTGTGAAGGTAAAACAATTCTTGTCTTTTCTTGATCTGTTTATTGGAAATGGGCTCATATTGGGGCATTCAAAATTTAATGCACCAGCACACAAAATTTTTTAAATTAGAGCATTTAAGAATTTTATTGATTTAGAAAGCTCCAAACACTGCACATTGTAGAGCTCCAAGGTAGTTTTATGTAGCTGGAGTGATCTGCCCTTTGATATGAAAAATCTTCAGTAAATGATATGATTTGAAATAGATTAAAGTATTCTTAATATATTATTTGACCATGGTAAAAAAAGGTAAAGTAATTAAAAACATTATTTGCATGTATTTTCCTTTTAAAGAGCAATGCTGATTTCTGTTCATTATTACTTCATTGTCTTTGAATTTTTCACTTGAGATATATGGTAGGTACCCTATGTTGAAAATGAACTTGATAAACTCAATTTGTATACAAGTACCTTTCTATGATATAATTTTCTCAATGTCCATAAACATTTTTTATTTAGTGTTGAGAGCTTCCTTAAGGGGGACCGACCCTCTGATAAGAGAGATAACTTTCCAAGTAAAAAATACTAAAATTACTTATAGTTTACTTTATCAGAATTTCATCATCGATCAAATTGAACATATGATGGAAACATTACCTTCTATTTTCTTTGCCTATATTTTTATTATACCCCCTGCAAATGAAGTTTGGGGGGGGGGTATATTGGAATCAGCTTGTCCGTCTGTCTGTCCGTCTGTCTGTCTGTCTGTAGACGAGATTTTGTCCGGACCATTTCTTGGAAACTATTGCAAGGATTTGTCTGAAAATTTGTACACTTATTATTCGCCATATGAAGGTGTGCACCTGCTAGTTTCATCATGATTGGATAATTTTTTTTGCATTTTACAGGTGTTTTTTTTCATTTTTATTATGTGGTTTTGTCCGGATCTGTTCCCAGAGACTATTGCATAGATTTGTATGAAAATTTGTACACTTATTATTTACCATATGAAGATGTGCACCTGGTATTTTCAACATCATTTGATAATTTTTCTGCATTTTACAGTTGTTTTTTTTTCATTTCTATTGACTTAGTCATTCCGGGTTCATGTCTAAGGTTTGAGACATAGAATCTAGAACATCTGTACAAAAATGTGAACTACAACTTAAAACAACTCATTAGAACTAAAAAAAAAAGATCACAAAGTATTAAAAACAGTTTTTACATTACACAGCAGATAGTGTAAATCCATTTGTCCCTTGGGAGTAATGAGTGGACATGCATCCAGTTAAAGATTGATTAATGAGTTCAGTGTGGGAAGCTGTTAGGGCATCTCTGATCAAGCAGGTCTTATCTATATCTCCTGGGAATTGGGCAGAAAGAAATAAAGATCTCTGTTGTCTAAGTCTCTTAATTGTAATTTATGTCTGTTGAAATACATAGTTACTGGAACCAGCCTTTTATTTTTAAATTGAGTTTGATATAAAGGTATTAAGATCAATTTGATTTTGTATAATTAATTATGATATTTTTTTTTCAACAATCAATTTGCAGAGTGTCATGTCTCACAAAGATGACAGATAGTTGCAAACTATTTTTTCAATGTAATAAAAAACACTGTAATTATTAGTATTGATGTTTTATTAGGCTGCACCTTAGTTTCATTCATTGAAAAAAATTTAATGAGTAAGTAAATTTTCACTCTAAATGTTTAAGCAAATTGTGAACACCTCTCACATCTAGAAAACATTAGTGATTTGGTACCTTCTCTGAAAAACCCAGCGGGGGGTATTTGTCCCTTTTGGACAGTTCTAGTTCAAATTGTTTATTATATTTGACAAAAAAACATTTAAATCTATTTTTAAAACCTTTACAAATTGAATAAGTTTTATCTTTTTAAGAATCATTTTAAAATGGTTTAATGTATCAAGTATCAAATGTAGAATTTTTATTTGTATTACATTTTTTTCCAATGAAAAAATATTTATATAAGAATGATAACTCTTGCTAACAGATGTATTGTTTTCTTACAACCACATATAACATTGTGATAATCTGACTTGGGAAGCAGTGCTTCATTGTGTTTCCTAATTTGAATTTAGTAGGTATGACACAATATTATTTAAGGAATGAATTTAATAGCTACCCAATTTATAGGTATAAAGTGGGTTGGGGCAGTTTACGCTTTATAAACCGCAAAGTGGTTTATAAAAAAGCGTAAATTGTTCCAACCCACTTTATACTGTATAAATTGGGAAGCTATTAATTTCATTCCGTATAATTTAATTTTCATTCATTTAGTGTAAGAAAAAAGATGATTGCCCTTAAAAATTACTTCAAATCGTACAAAATTCAAATGTAACGTCAGGCAGATTGATACATTTTTGACGCAAGTCATTATGACGTAGGCAACCCAATTTATACAATATAAAGTAAATCTTTTATCCAATCAAATACTGTGCGATAGCCAGAATTAAATTATTTTCATATTCACTACCTATTTTTAGCTCACATGAGCCAAAGGCTCAAGTGAGCTTTTCTGATCGAAATTAGTACGTTGTCTGTCGTCGTTGTTGTCGTTAGCGTCGTTGTCATAAACTTTTCACATTTTCATTTTCTTCTCCAGAACTACTGGGCCAATTTCAACCAAACTTGGCACAGAGTATCCTTTGGGGAAGGGGATTCAAGTTTGTTCAAATGAAGGGCCACACCCTCTTTAAAGGGGAGATAATAAAGAATTAGTGAAAAAATAATAGCATCTTTTAAAAATCTTCTTCTCAAGAACCACAGGGCCAAGAAAGATGAAACTCATGTGGAAGCGTCCTCAGGTAGTGTAGATTCAAGTTTGTTCAAATCATGACCCAAGGGAGTAGGGCGGGGCCACAATGGAGGATCAAAGTTTTACATAGAAATATATAGGAAAAATCTTTAAGAATCTTCTTCTCAAGAATAGCAGAGCCATGTTGAGTCATATTTACATGTATATGGAAGCATCCTCAGGTAGTATAGATTCATGTTTATTCAAATCATGACCCCTGGGGGTACGGCGGGGCCATAATGGACTATTAAAGTTTTACATGGAAATATATAGGAAAAATCTTTAAAAATCTTCTTCTCAGGAACAGCAAAGCCCTGATTGGTCATACTTATATGGAAGCATCCTCAGGTAGTGTAGATTCAAATTTGTTCAAATCATGACCCCCGGGGGTAGGGCGGGGCCACTATGGAGGATCAAAGTTTTACATAGAAATATAAAAGAAAAATCTTTAAAAATCTTCTTCTCAGGAACAGCAAAGCCCTGATTGATCATATTTATGTGGAAGCATCCTCAGCTATTTTGTTCAAATCATGACCTCCGGGGGTAGGGTGGGGCCACAATGGAGGATCGAAGTCTTAAATAGAAATATATAGGAAAATATCTACTTCTGAAGAACTGCGATAAATAGAAATATATAGGAAAATATCTACTTCTGAAGAACTGCAAAGCCATTAATAGTCATTTTGATGTGGAAGCATCCTCAGGTAGTGTGGATTCAAGTTTGTTAAAATGATGACCCCAGGGGGTAGGGTGGGCCCCAATGGGGGGTAGGAAGTTTTACATAAGAACATATAGAAAAAATATTTCTTCACAAGAACAGAAAAGCTATGTTTAGTCATATTGATATGGAAGCATCCTCAGGTAGTGTAGATTCAAGTTTGTTCAAATGATGACCCCTGGGATAGGGAGGAGCCACAATGGGGATCAAATTTTTACAAAGGAATATATGGGAAATTTTTTTTAAAATCTTCTCAAGTACAACAAAGCCATTTGTTATATTGACATGGAAGCATCATCAGGTAGTTTAATATTCAAGCCCCCCCCCCCCCCCCCCCTCAGGTAATCTTTTCAATACTGAACTGATTTGTGTTTTTGCCTAGCCAATGTGCTCAGGTGAGCGATGTGGCCCATGGGCCTCTTGTTAATTTATGTTGTGATGATAAATTATTACTCTTCCTATTCTCTGTGTTAAAATTTCTTCATATTATGATCTGACATAAAAATCATTTCTGAAAAAATAAGCATCGCTTCATACCTCATACTATTTTTCATTTGAATCTGATGCTATAGCTCTTGATGAAAATCAGTCTTGGGAAGTTTTAAAAAAAAATTTATTATATTTAGAGCAAAGGGTCTTCAGTCCCTAAAATCGTTTTTTATGGGGGGTCCAACATATAGTAGGAATTCTTTACTCCTATCAAGTCTGACATTAAATGTTGATGAAATAGAAATAGTCAGAAATGCCAAACTAAGACTACACTGAATTTGATGCCGCTCATTTATTTATATGGTTAATATAGTCACATCAAAGCTAGTATATAAATTTTTATATTTTATATCATCATATTTATTTTTAAGTCACTTGAGTGACTCAGGTGACCTGTTTCTACAAATATGTTTCTATGCACTGTGCATCATTTGTAGTACTTTGATTTTTGGAACAGTTCTTCAGTTTCAACCAATTTTGGTAGCATGTTGCATTTTGTAAAGAGTTATGGCGCATTTGATAGCCATTTTGGCCTACTCTAGTAGTGATTTCTTAATAAATTTTTAACCAATGTTTTGTAATACCATCTTAGTATATACCATCATATACATATGTATTAAAACTGAAATTACACAAAAATTATATTTATATGTGAATATTTCCCTTATAAGATAAATATGAAAATCACAATTTTATTTTAGTCTTCTCTTTGAAAATGATAAAAATACATACTAGTATTCAATTTTCCTTCTCATATTACCTTATAAGATTTAGCAACCTGTCTCAATTTTTAGCTCACCTGAGCTGAAAGCTCAAGTGAGCTTTTCTGATCACATATTGTCCGGCGTCCGTCTGTCTGTCTGTCCGTCTGTCTGTCTGTCTGTCAACTTTTCACATTTTCGACTTCTTCTCAAAAACCACTGGGCCAATTTCAACCAATTTTGCCACAAAGTATCCTTGGGTAAAGGGGATTCAAGTTTGTTCAAATGATGGGCCATCCCCTTTT